CGCCGAACAAAGGGGGGGACGCGGGCAGAGCGGCCGGGGGCGCCACCTGGCGGGCGTGGATGGCGCCTGCAGGGCCAGCGGGGAGCTCCCCCCCGCCCTGCTCCCGGGGCGGCCTCGGGGCTCGGGCGGATCCCCTCCCCCTTAAAGGGCCCCGCGGCGTCCCATTTTGGGGGCCCAGGCCGGAGGGGCCCCGGTGGGCCAGACCAAGCGCAGCGGGGCGCGCGCTTTAGGTTGTTGGACTTGAGGGCCCCTGTCCTTTCTCTTTCAAACTCCCAGGTGGTCTCTCTTATCCGGCTGTCTCTTAAAAGTCTGCCTAGACCGTGGGTCCCCTTCGGGGGGCTTTTCCCCAGAGAAGCTGAGCTGAGCTGTTTTAAATCGGACTGCTCCCTCGTCCTGTGGCCTTTTCTTCCTTCCCACGTTCTCCCTTGGAAAAAAAGGACAGCTTGAGCCTGGGGGGCCCACCACCAAATCTTTCCCTCCCATGGGCAGTTTTTAACGGGATGGATTGGCCCCCAAAGACCCCCTCCTCCGTTATCTCCTCCCTTTGCAAAAATCTTTAGCCCAATGTGTCAGCAATAGTGGAAGTAGCCAGTCCTCGTTCGCTGTCAAAGGACTGTTTCCTCATTTCACTGCCGCCAGGGTCAAAGCCTGCAGACCCGCCAAGGTTCCGTCCCCGCGAGGAGAATCCGCCCGAACCTCCGCGCTCCCCTCCCCTCCCCTCCCGGGCCAGAAACTCCCCGTCCCCTTTTGTTTTTAAAGAATCTCAGCTCCTCCCCTTTATTCGGCCCTTAAAGGGCCAGTCCACTTTAGATTAGCAACGATCCAGCGCTGGAAGGATGCTTAGAGACCTTCTAGCTCCGGTTGCCTTTTCAGACAAAGACGCATAGGCCCCAGAGCTGACGTGACCTACCAAGGGTCACAGAGCGAGTTACCAGTGAAGCCAGGACTCGAACCCAGGTCTAAATCCGAAGCCAGTACTTTTTCTGTGAATTTATTTTTAAAAGATATATATATATATATATATATATATATATATTTTAAAAAAAGGTGACCGCAGCCCACTCTGAGCTTTTTTGTCTTTTGTCTCTCCGAGCCTAGGCTTCTCCACTGGGAGAATGCCCAGAACCTACTCAGCCTATGTGGCCAGGACACCATTTTTTATATAAAATAGGGTCCTAACTTTAGGGGCGGTGGGAGGCTGCCGAGGGTCTCTGTCTGGCAACGGGAAGCAACGCTGGGTTAGAGGGCTTTGCTTTTCCTCTCCAGCGCTCGCCATTCTGCTTACTGGGCGGTGGCGGGCTCCCTACCAAGAGCACAAAGTCAATCCCCAGAGAGACTAAATGGTCTCCAGTGGGGTGGTGGCCACTCCCTGCCGCAGTATCTCCAGCAGCCTCTCTGGTGGCCCTCCTGCCATCCCCTTCCAGGGTCACTGGCTCTCCCAGACTCCAGGGAACACAATCTGATAGACACCTTTGCCTACAAGTGTTAACATGCTTGTCATGGGGACCCTCCTCCCGTGGTTACCTATATGGGGTCCGGACAATGCTTGGCCTCCACTCCACAAAGAGGGACTCTTGGGAGGCTGTACTGGAGGCATTATTGGAAAAGGGGAGAAGAGTTTTGGGTGGGGCCCTCCTGGCCGAGGCCCCAGGCGGGTGCGTCCTGAGTGCAGCCCTGGATCAGACAGATGCCCCCTTTGTTCTTCTCGCCCCACTGCCTGCTCTGGCTGTCAGCGCCCAGAGAGCTGCTCTCCTGCCTTCACCCCTGCGGCTCTTTTCCGGGAAGGGCCCCGTACGGAGCCTGCTGCCTGCTTGGCCCTCACTTGGTTTCTGAAAGAGTCCCAGCCGTCCTTCATGGTGCCCGGCATGCTTTTGTTCTTGAGTCTCTTAAAGGGGCCGAGCTCTCCGTAAAGGGCCAGTATTGGGACTCCCTGCCTCTCCCATCTCCCTTTCATTAATGCCTCCATCCCCCTCCTGCTTCTGAGCAACCCTTTCTCACAAAAAAGCCTGCAAAACCTGAGCTTTGGGTTCTTTCCCTGGAATTTGGAGACTCAAAAACTGTCTCCCTTTCCCCTTCTCCAGGGCAAGATCTACAGCTGGAAGGGGGTGCCTTGGGGTCTTGGGGCAGTGCCCCCCGGGCCAGGGGACCAGCATCTTCAGGCAGGAAATACTCAGACCACTGTGAGGCCCGGGCCTCAAGGCCTGGTAAGAGCCGCATCCCTGGCCGCGACCACCGGCGCTACTACCACGACCACTGGCGGCTGGAGTATCTGATGGACTTCAACCCCGCACGGCACGGCATGGTGTGCATGGTGTGCGGGAGCTCCCTGGCCACCCTCAAGCTCAGCACCATCAAACGGCACATCCGCCAAAAGCACCCCTACTCCCTGCACTGGAGTCCCCGGGAGAAGGAAGTCATCAGCAACAGCTGGGATGCCCACCTGGGGCTGGGGGCCTGTGGAGAGGCCGAGGGCCTGGGAGCCCAGGGGGCCGAGGAGGAGGAGGAAGAGGAAGAGGAAGAGGAGGAAGAGGGGCCCGGCCTCCCAGCTTGCCAGCCCAAGGGCCCAGGTAAGGAAGGGCATGGCGAGGCAGGGACTGGGGAGCTGATGAGGTCAAGCGGGAACACCTGGCTTCTCTGCCAGCCAGCCAGGGTCCACGAGAGCAAGCCACTGCTTCTGTGGCTGGGGCCCGCTTGTGGCCCTGTCCAATACTGGGGAAGGGACAGTGGGTCTGCACTGTCCCAGAAAGCTTTGGCATTCTGTGGTTCTATAAGAAAGGTGAAGGACAGTAGAGTTTAGGGGGAGGGGGCAGGGGAAGGAAGGGCTGGCAGTGGGGAAGCCAGGCTGGGGTCAGGGATGGGTCACGAGGTGTTGCAAAGCTGTGGCTAACAGTCAAGTCTGGAGAAGGGGCTGGGGCGCGTGGGGGTGGGGCTTGGGGTTTGTGTGCAGAGGATGAAGGGGATTGAGGGGGGGCATATAGGACTTGAGGGAAGAGGAAGAAGGCGAAGCTTGAGGCGCACAGTCAGCCAGCCAAGTGAGAGAGCCTTGGAGAGGACCCGGCTGCGGTGGTGGGGCCCAAGAGGGCCAGCATCTCAGTTGCTTCCCTCCCTCCAACCTTTCAGGCAAAGGCCCAGCTGGTGGGGGCGGCCGGCGCCAGCGGCGAGGGGGTCCAGTGGCACCCCGGGCTCGGCGTCGCGCCTCCCGGAGGGCTGGGGGCAGCAGGGGGCTGGGGGCCCGGCGCCTGGAGCGGAGGCTGAAGGAGTCCCTGCAGAACTGGTTCCGGGCCGAGTGTCTCATGGACTATGACCCGCGGGGGAACCGGCTGGTGTGCATGGCCTGTGGCCGGGCACTGCCCAGCCTGCACCTGGACGACATCCGTGCCCACGTGCTGGAGGTGCACCCCAGCTCCCTGGGGCTCCGCGGTCCCCAGCGCAGCGCCCTGCTGCAGGCCTGGGGAGGTCAGGTCGAGGTGCTGCCCGAGTTCACCCAGCCCCCACCAGGTGCGAGGCCCATCCCAGAGCCGAGGCCCCTTCATGTATCAGGGCTGCAAAGGGATCTGTGGCCCTAGCCGGGGCCAGGGACTTATATACACGCACGCACGCACGCACACGCTGGTTGGGGCCTCTAGCTTGGGGCTGGGATGAGGAGAGGGGACCCCCTTAGCATGGGTAAGGGCAACCCAGCCAGCAGGCTGAGCCCCTCTCCCTCACCCCTTCCCCAACAGACGACAACCTCATCCCCCAGGACCTGACCAGAAAGAGCCAGGACTCGGCCCCCGCTGCCAGAGCCCCCTCCTCTCAGGATCTCAGCCCCCCAGACGTGAAGGAAGAGGCTGGCTGGGACCCTGAGAGTCCCGGGCCCGCAGAGGAGGAGGAGGAGGAGGAGGAGGCGGAGGG